TGATCATCCCTGACAACCCCATCGAACCGGTCCCAACCAAACCCGTTAATAGGTGGAACTTTTGCAAGGCCAGATGGGACCATTTCACAAGCCTTGTGGATGCTGGGGTTGACAACATACCCTACCCCACCCCCAACAACCTAGATACAGCCTACTCAGCCCTCCGCAGTCTTCTCATTGAGGCGGCGAAGAAAGCTATTCCTCGTGGACACCGTCGCAGATACATCCCTGCATGGGATGAAGAGTGTGATGCATGCTACGACGCCTTTCTGCAAGCTGAACCAGGCGAGGATGCAACTACGAAGGCTACAGACCTGACAAACTGCCTTGACAAAAAGCGCAGAGGTCGCTAGGGGAATTGACTTTGCACACTCCAGTAGAATAGCCTGGAAAACCTTCAACCGTCTTACTGGCAGAAGTAATCGCCCCAAGCACTGTACATTCACTGCTAACTCCATCGCTCAGCAAATCCTCGCCAATGGACACTTCAAAGATGCAGACAAGAATCACGCCTGCACTGTGAAACAGGAGACTACAAACCTGTGGAAGGCATCAGGCGTTGACGAGCATATGTCATCTCCATTCTCCCTCGCAGAACTCTCTGCTGCCATTTCCCAACTGAAATGCGGGAAAGCTCAAGGTCCTGATAACATCCCTCCAGAATTCCTGAAGCACTGTGGTCCCAGATGTCTAGCTTGGCTTCAAGAATTCTACTCCTCCTGTCTTGCCGGCCAGTCTTTACCCAAGATTTGTCGGAAAGCCACTGTCATCGCATTGCTGAAACCAAACAAGGCTGCTGATGACCCCAAGAGCTATCGTCCGATTTCACTTCTTTGTGTCCCGTACAAGCTTCTTGAACATTTTCCTGTGGCTCGGCTCGACCCAATCATCGACCCCCAACTGCCTGATGAACAAGCTGGCTTCCGACATGGACGCTCCACAGTACAGCAAATTGTTAAGCTGACCAACGACATCGAGGACAGCTTTGAAGCACGCAACAATGAAGGTGTCGTACTAGTGGACCTCACCGCTGCCTACGACACAGTGTGGCACCATGGCCTGGTCCTGAAACTTCTTCGCTCCATTCCCGATCGGCACTTTGTGCGGTTCCTCGCCAACATTATTTCCAACCGCAGTTTCGTCCTCCAGACCAGTGATGGACAGACAAGCCGACCACGTCGTCTGAGGAATGGAGTACCCCAAGGCTCAGTACTGTCCCCCATCCTCTTCAACATCAACATAAGCGACCTACCGAACACCACAGTGAGGAAGTATGGCTATGCTGATGACTTGGCCCTCCTTTACACAGATAGAAACTGGACAAACATGGAGACGGTGTTCTCAGCTGACATGGAATGCATCGCAGACCACCTGATGACATGGAGACTAAAGTTGAGCGTCGCAAAAACTACTTCATCTGCCTTCCACCTAAACACCAAGGAAGCCCAACGTCAGCTGACTGTCACCCTAAACGGGTCTCCCCTGCCCTACAATCCAGATCCCACCTACCTTGGGGTAAGACTAGACCGGCAACTCACGTACAGGAAACATCTGGAAGCCCTCCGTTATAAGGTTTCAGGGCGTAACAACCTCCTGCGTCGGCTGGCTGGATCATCATGGGGTGCCAGGACATCCACCCTTCGAACTGGTGCTCTTGCCTTCGTTTACAGCGCTGCCGAGTACGCTGCCCCAGTATGGTGCCACAGTGCCCATGCCAGGAAGCTTGATGTGGCCCTCAACGAAACCATGCGTATCATCACTGGCTGCCTACGCCCTACTCCAATAGACCTCCTGCCTGTTCTTGCAGGTATTGCACCTGCAAAGCTTTGCAGAGAGAGCCTCACCGACAGGCTTGCGTCCAAGGCCGAGGCAAACTCCGATCACCCTCTGCATCAGCTAATCCAAGATGCACAACAGCTTGGTCGTCAATGCCTGCCCTCTCGTCGTCCCTTCTCCCGTCATGCTGCAGCCCTCTGCAACTCCAACTTCACTTTGCGTAGTGCGTGGGAGGCTTACTGGGATCAGACTGCCCGACCTGATCAATTTACTGTGACCCCCGACACCACAGCCCCACCCGGCTCAGACCTTCCTCGAAAGGAATGGGTCACCCTGAACCGCTTGCGTACAGGAGTCGGCCGGTTCAATGCCAGCATGTTTCGTTGGGGCCTACGTCCATCAGCAGCCTGCGTGTGTGGAGCATCACAGCAGACAGCACAGCACATCATCAACGAATGCGCTGCACTTGGCCCCCCCAGCTGACACGGTGGACCTCGCCATTGTCAGCGAACAAACAAGAACATGGCGTAGACAACTGGACGGAATAGCCTGACCTTCTGCTGCCTCAAACGAAAGAAGAAGAAGCTCCCCTTGGTCATTCCATGAAGTTGAGGAACAGGCAATAATTTTCTGAGGTCTGATTATAAAACAGTTTTTTCTTTGTTATGGAATGGTTATTTCTTAAACAAATGTCATTTGACAATAAGGCTGACAAAGAAACCTTCAGTTAAAAAAATAACTCACTTTGAAAAGAAAACAAGTGGACTGGAGTTGAGGTTTTACACAAATTATAGCGAGAAGATGTACCCTTTCTATTGAAAAAAAATAAATATCAGATGTTAAAATATTTTACCCAAATCGCATGCACAATTTAAATTGGGTTGTGGATGTAACATATGGTGTCCCTTGTTTCATATTATGTTACATCCACAACTGGCTCGTGCAAAGTTTTCTTTTTGCAGCAATTTAGGTCGGATTGACCCCAATATTTCATGATTTAACTGGTATTTGTAAAATAATGTAATCGCAGTCTATGTAAATGAATGTTTTGGCCAAATATGAAGAAAATCTTATGCCTGTGGGAACATGGTGGCATGTCCCGTGTTACATCCACAAACGGTTGACATAGTCATGCCTAAAATAAGTTATAAAATCATGACCTGCAATCTGCAATTGCCCTTGAAACAGAGATTTGGGGACAACGTTTCTAAACACAAATAACATTTAGTTCCATTCATATCGAGGTGAAAAATACCGCATTGTGATGTAGTGGTGTCCCACATGTTACGTCCAGAACCATTATTTTTTGTTGTTGATGGAAATAAAAATTTGAGCAGTCTTTGAAAGTATATAAGTATGGATATTATTGAATGAAGCTATTTCATGATAAACTCAAGTTTGGTGTAAATTTGAAGCATTTTGAAGTATTAATCATGAACAAAACAAGGTTTGGATGTAACAGGACATATGCTTCCGGTTACATCGACAACTTCTCCATCTAGTCATTACATGTAAATATATATTGTGTACAAATTCACCAACTTTCCAAAATCATGTGACTTAAATTTGAATGAATTGTTAAACCACAAAGCTTGGGCTATCAAAACATGCATAAACAAAACTTGTACAAGCAATTTGAAAATTTTGATCCCAATGTCACACTTTGTATCTTACCTTCGTGGAATGACCCTATTAATATATATTGGAAGTTTGTCAGTTTCCAATACCTCGGGAGCGAATATCGACTGTCCACCCTCAAACTAGGTTTTATTTGTATACTAGAACCACCATGAGAACATCTTTTCAGGCCCTTGGTTGGATTATCAACACTCCAATCCTCTGATTAGAGTATACCTCCAATCTCACTATCTCATTATTCATTGGGTTTGTGTATTGCCAGTGCTATATTAATCTGTTCCACCACTCGTCGGTGCCCAATTTGTAGTGTACTGGTAAAAGCACAATATGAGCAAGCTCTATGACACATAAAAGTACATACAAAGCACATGGAGATCGATTTCAGTGAAATTCAAATTTTGTGGGTTTTTTGGGGGATTTCATATTTAGTTGTACAAAATGCAGTGCTTTAAAGTCACAATAATAATCTGGATAGCAAAGAGGCATCAAAATAAACTGTCAGTGGCAGTGGTAGTGGAGTTGTTTGGTGAAATGGTGCACTTGGACTTTTTCCTTGACTTTTTTGTTGATGAGCTTTAATTTCAGTCCGTTACTTTATCTTTAATGCAAACTTTTAATAATGAACATTTTTCACACAGTAACATTTCACTTGCATCTAAATTGAAATAGACCAGATGCGGTGTCTGGCAATTGGGCCCAAAGTTTGTACATTTATGTACATGTATATTTTTGGATACAGCAGCTTTAGGTGCAGCACTCTTCTTTGGCCATGTCCACTTTTAGGTTTAACTTCAAACACTGTATTTGCTCTTTTTGGCCACTACTGTGTCATCCCCTTATGGAGTGCTACCGGTACTGCCACATCTGGGCTGCAGCTTCTACCTGTCACTTATCTTTACTTATCTTTACAGGGTGCAGAAGCGTGTAGCTAATCTGTTTGGTATGGAGTTGGACTCGTCATTGCAACCTCTTTCTCACCATATGTTTGTTGTCTGTTATTTTTTTCATGGTCTTTACACCACTAGTGTATCCTTCTTCATTCCTCAGTGAAAGAGAAACTCGGCTTTCTGCCTCTTCTCATCTGTATACTGTTGCAAAACTTAGATGTAGAACAAAAGGATATATCAACGGCTCTTGCAGAGCTCTTTTGAATTCACAAGATGGAATTTTGCGTCAGGGTGATGTAAATCAAACTATTTTTCCAACTTTCACTTGGGAGGTAACACACTGAGTATACAGTGTTTATACCTCAGTGAAAGGTAAAACCTAGTTTGATCTTTTGAATTCCTTGCCTGGTGCTTGATTCCCTTGATGTCCTGTTTCAATAGGAACGTTAATTTCTACAGTTTTCCGAGTACTGACTCTTCTTTTAATTTGTCTTGTAGCCCTGTACCTTGAGTGGCTTTTAGCCTTGTTCAGGGCGAATATGCACACAAACAAAATATCAGTTCAAAACACGGATAAAAAGTATCCAGTGCCTGACTACTCATTGCTTCTCAACTGACAAACGGCTTCTCAATAATCCTTAAGCAATGATGTTATGCACCAGTTGCAAAATTAATGGTACTTTTCATCTGTCATTACAGGAGAATTTGACCTTCCCATATTTTCTGTGTCTACAAGTGTACTGTGATGGAAAACTGTCTTCCAGAATTGCCAGAACAATCGCATTCTCTGGCATTCTTCCCATGGTGAGATTGACGCTTGCAGAGCAAGACACAGAAAGTTATCACCCTAATGCTGTCCAGTACAACTTACCTGGTGCTGTAGTTGATGTAAATGATACTACGGTTCCAGGCATTATTGCAGAACTGAGCCAGCCAGCCTGGTTTGTACCTCTGTTTCTTGATGCCAAATCTAGAGTGATGCACTTCGATGTGAAGATAGGATGCTCTGGGTGTCAGATAGAGACTTTCAGGTGTGGAATGTACAAACTTAAAGATTTCAATTGTCTGATATAGCTTTTTTTCTTGAATTGTTCATATGGTTAAATTTGTACTGTAAATGTGAATTTTTATACAAATTTTCTACAATTGCTATAGGCTCTTTTTAATTTAACTTCAGTTATGTAATGTTCGTTTATAAAAGAACTGTACACTCGAAAGGCTCTTTCATAGAAGAGAGAGAGAGAGAGATATAAATTAGGAGTTTTAGATGTAAACCAACATTAAGTTTTGTGATAGAATAAAGCCAGTCAAACTTTTGAAGTAAAGTGCCCAAGGACTAGAAACTTTACCTTGATGTCCAAAAATTGTCCATTCCATCTTTCTCTGGTTATTTACAGGCAGTTGGTCAACATTGCTGATGATAACATTTTGTCTGCAAATAGGTATGACAACATCAGTATCTTAAGTCTTTCAACCCTAATCCATCAGTTACCTGTACTGCTCTCAGGAAGGCCATACCAAGCGATTGCTTCCTACGGAAAAACCCCTACATATGTAATAGGAGGGATACCAGGCTCTGCGACAGTGATACTAAGCAACAGTGAGTTTATCACAACTAAGGCTGTAGAGGTAATGAATCTGTTGTATATTTTAGAATATGCCAATTGTAAGGGTCCCTATCCAGATACAGGGTGAGTAAAAAAAAAAGCGAAGCCCAAAGACCAAAAAATATATTATATGTTTAAAAAAGTATGTAGCACCAAACATAATATGTGGAAAGTCAATTTCATAAGCTACTGTTCAATGGAAAAAGTACTGAAATTGCTCAATTCGTTTTAAACACAATGACCCTAAACCTGTTTCGTCAAAAAAGTAGTTTATTGTGTATTTTCTGACTGTTTGGAACAACAATGAAAATGACCCAGAAAACTTGTTTTAACAACTGTCAACAACTGTAGTACAAAATATCTTTATTAACAACCCTGGTTAGGCAAACAATATGATTTATAAAATTCACTTTTTTAAAAGACGGGCCTTCAAAAGGAATTTGTTGAATGTTTTTAACTTTTAAACTGAGGTTTTATCGCTGGTGGTGTTTGAAGACAATTGTGACGACGATTCTTGAAATCGCACTTTTGGACAAATGAGTTTTTAGGGTCATTGTGTTTAACTGATGATATTCTTTGAACGGATTGAGCATTTTCAGTAATTTTTTTCATCTAACAGTAGCTTATAAAATTTGCTTTCCACTCATAATTATGGTTGGTGCTACATATTTTTTTAATTATGAAATATAATTTTTGGGGTTTGGGTTCCGCTTTATTTGACTCACCCTGTATTTGGTTATATTTATACAGTGCAGGAGCCTCAATATCAGATGTTTTGTTTACAGAATATTTGTTTTGTGATGACAAAATACATATTTTTGAAAAAAAAAGTATACAGAGAAGTCACTTTTTGTCCCGCTGGCTGTAAGCCGGAGGGGGATACTCCGATAGTGTATTCCTTCTGTGTGTATGTATTCCTTCTGTATACTATGTCTGTCTACAGGTGTGAGTTTGTCCTACATTCACTATGTGGACTTGTGACCAAAAGATGTCCACATAATGCAGGTTGTGTTGACGTAACGGTTATGTGGACTAAGCTGTGTCCACATAACGTTTTGCCCTTTCTGGAAAACAGGTTTAGAGGCATTTTGGGGTTAGGTTTATGTGTGGCAGAATGAAGAGAAACACGATAGGGAATCGTAGAAAAAAAATTGGGTTGAAAGAGTTTTCACAATTTTAGTAAAGTTATTTTTTGTACCGAGTTTTCTTAACTACATGAAAACAAAGGAATGTCCACATAGCGTATGTAAAACAAACAAGTGTGTGTGGGTGAGTATGTAAACACCAGCAATCGTGGACGTAGGACAAAAGAATTGGGGCGCAAACAATACGTCCACGATTGACCGAACGTCCACGATCTCAAATCGTGTACAAAACCAATGAGAGCTGTCGCTAAACAAAGGAAAGAGGATTAGGGACAATGGGGCGTCCACGATTGCCGGCATTTACACACGTGCGTGGGTGGGTGTGTGTGTCCGGACAAATCTTGTCAGCGCGATAACTTGAGAAATTTGTAACATATGAACTTCAAATTTGGTTTGTGGATTGTTTTTGGTAATCCAAAGAAGCCTATTGCATTTGGCGCCGAAAGGTCAAGTGTCAAGGTCACATAGTGGCTATAAACAATAGAAATTTTGTCAGCGCGATAACTTGAGAAATACTTTACATGTGAACTTCAAATTTGGTTTGTGGATTGTTCTTGGCAATCCTAGGAAGCCTATTGCATTGGGGCCAAAAGGTCAAGGGTCAAGGTCACAGTGGCTAAAACAAAAGAAATTTTGTCAGCGCGATTACTTGAGAAATACTTTACAATGTGAACAGCAAAGTTGGTTTGTGGATTGTTCTTGGCAATCTTAAGAAGCCTATTGCGTTTGGGGCCGAAAGGTCAAGGGTCAAGATCACAGTGGCTAAAACAATAGAAATGTTGTCAGCGCGATAACTTGAGAAATACTGTACATATGTGAACTTCAAATTTGGTTTGTGGATTGTTCTTGTAATCCTAAGAAGCTCATTGCATTTGGGGCCGAAATGTCGAGGGTCAAGGTCACAGTGGCTAAAACAATAGAAATCTTGTATTTATTCTGAGATCATACGGATTAATTCATATAAAACCTACAGAAAACACTAATGCTGCCAATGAATGTTCCATGTGACCCATGTAAGTTGATGTTAAAAGAGTGTTGTTGGGTCATGGGAACAGTCACGTTGCGGGGCATTTGTGTTTGTAAACACACCTGACTTGTTTTCACTAGCGTTTACCCCACCCCCAAATGCCCTTTTTTCCGAACAAGTGCTCTTTTTTTTTACAAAAGAAAGTCGAGCCCTTTTTAAATTTTTCTTTAGCACATTTGTTGGCCTGAAAAGTGCCATATATTGTCTGTTATTGTGTGCATAATCGTCTGTTTTGAATAGCACCTCCATCTGGAGATGGTAACGCCCCCCCACGGATGTGCGATTGTCCTTTTCAAGAAATGTTTTAAATCCCCCCTCCCCCAATAAAAATGACCTTGCTACGCCCTTACAGATTTGGATATGTCACACATATATGTAAGCAAGTGCATGTGAAATTAATTTAAAGGTGAAAGGTGAACATCAGTTTTTGGTTAACTTCAAATATATGTATAACATATCCAAATTTGAATTTGTACATGTAAGTCTTTTTAAAAAAAATCAATAAATCAGTCCATTAGACCCCACCTGCTGCACACGGGGCAACAACATACACCACGCTCTTATGCCACAGGTCACACTGCATGTTCCAGCCACGCGCCTCATACATGCTTGTCTGTCTTTTATAAGTGCATGCATTGCAGACATTTGATGACGGTGGTGATTTGTCGAAGCACTACGTGGTGGAGCTTTAATGGATTGGTCTATTGATACTAGCTGCACAAAAGTAATACTGCTAACCTGTATGAGTTGAAATTTGTCCCCAGCAGCTTGAAGACGTAGTAATAAATAGCACTGCAGACAAGTTGATCATCCATAAACAGCTCATTCTAATAGGTGATATACTAGAACACCAGAGATACGTTACCTCTACCAATGAGTATAGTCACATTGGACAGTGGTGAGAAAAAGTTCTGCTTTTTTGGTCTATGTTTTGCCAGTGAGCAAACACCCTTTTCTTTTGCTTTTTTTTTAATTAGGGATATTTCTTTTTCATAGTGAATGTCCAAACTTACAACTGTTTAACAGCTATATTTTGAATTAAATGATATATTGAATTACTGACTTCCTGCAGCTGTGTTAATATGTTACACTGTTGTGGTTATATTATGTCGTGCTACTGTGTTCTTTCTCAAATGATAATATTACTCCATCCAAAGATCAAGTAAGAGGTGAGATTTGTCAGTTTTTCTCCTAATTTCAGGTTTTTTTCCCCAGAGTTTTCCAGATTTTAGGATTGTTTTTGATTTTTCTGATTTCAGAATTTGTAAATATTCTCTTTTGAAATGTGGAATTCTTGTGGTTTTATTGCAAAAATGTTTTTACATATATAAGAGTTCATCTAGAAAAAAAAAGATACATGGGTATTATAAGGCAAATACGAACATATACCATAGACCCTACATTGCTCTGGGGCCCTCAGCAACGCTCCAACCATCTGGCAGTAAATTTTAATAGTCCTCAAATCTCACCTCTATCTTGCTAAATTTGATAATTTGATGTGTTTTTTTTATTTGCTTCACTTAACAGATTAAATGTTTGATGCATGATCACTATTCATAAGCTTTCAAGTTTCAAAGACCAAATTCAGTGGCTCATCTACATTGAACAACATTGTGGTTTAATGTTTTAAAATTGTCAATTGTTTACAGGAATAACAGTTTATCAGATAGGCTGTTATCTTGTCCTTATGATCTGCAATTGGAGTTTGATCATCTACAACTCTATGCCAGACAGGAGGAGTTTCAGTTTTGGATTCCATTTGTCTCTTTTGCTGATGGACTGCATACAATGAATTCCTTGCTTGTATACCAGGCCGTTGTACACAACATGAAAGATCAACAGGAAGATTTGGAACTTGAGGTATAAACTGTCCAATTTAATTATTGACTGATCACACACATATACCATTCTGAAAGCCATATGCAGATTATCCCTTGTCGCAATTTTCAGCACAAATCTCTCATTCATTTCCAAGATATTGGCCTCCAAAAACATTATAAGTTAAGGTACGGAACTGCAAAAAGTAGGCATTTGCACCCTATTTTTGGAGGGCTATATCCCAGAAACCTACTTGTAGAATTTTTTAAAATACAAATCTGAGTCGGTTGCCATGGGACCTCTGGTTGAGTTCATATGGAATGATCAATCTGGTATGAATGTGAACACTAGTTCGAATATGTGGACATTTTTATGACGCCATAATGATGTCACCATGTATATAATTACACGCATTTAAAGGTGAACATTTGACAAAATAGTTTGAATTATATAACCGACATACAGATCCTTGTCATTTGATTGGTGGAACTCACATCACGTGGCATTCGTTATTGCTCCCATTCATGCCGCGGCTCAAAAAGTACTATCCGCCCATGGGGAATGGGAAATACTATTCAACAGTTAGGATCATGACGCGGTATTTGTGTGCAAATGCATGCTGGTGTGCGTGTTCAGCGTTGCGCGTAGCCCGTATTGTTCCAAAGAGCCAGCGCTACAGCGTTGGGTTCAAACATTATCGTGAAAGGGTGGTTTGGAAGAGAGAAATACATTTTCCTCCAGTTTTGTATTGAAAAAAGTTCAAATATATTAAATGACAAGGATCTGTAAGTCAGTTATATAAAACAAATATTGAGTGGCTTTAAATTGTGAAATGGGAGAAATATTATCGCTCGGTAAAATCTGGACTTTCCCAGTTCACTCGGCTTCACCTCGTGGTATGGAAAAGTCCAGATTTTACCTTGCGATAATATTCCTCCCATTCCACGCTGAGCCACTCAATACTTGTATACTCTATCTTTATAAATGGATTGAGTACCGTTTTCATTTCTTCGTGAAGTGGTTGATAGTGCCTTGGGCATCATTTTTTAATTTCCGCGTTCCGCGTTTGCCCTTCCAGGGTTACCAGAAGTGCTAAGAGATATGTATAACTTGGAAACAGAAGCATTTTACTACAATAAAAAAAAATTCTGAAAACATTTAGTGAGAAACGTCAAACGCAAAAGACAGCATGATGATGTCATTGCTCAAAGGGCGCCCTCAATAGCTGCATGTCGAAGACAGTTAAACTTGTGTGAATTTACAAACCATCTGTCTAGATTTTGCCAAATTGCCCATAACATTCTTTTGGACAGCTGCAAATGACTTTGCGAGGTCTCAGGATAATGACATCATCAAACCGGAAGTTATAATGTGGAGAATTTTACAATAATCAATTTAAAATCAAATCAAATTCATCACTTAATCGGAATCCAGTGGCGATATTGGCGGTACAAATGATGTAATCAGCTACATGTTGATGTTGGGCTCCACAAATGTTGTCAAACCAGAAGCAAGGTGCTATCAATACATACAGTCAAACCAGAAGCAAGGTGCTGTCAATACATACATTTATACCAGGGTACAACTTTAGCATTACTAGCCCACTAGCTAAATGCTAGTCAAAACAGCGGTATAGCTAGTCAAGCTAATGTTTGAGTAGTCCGGCTGGCGAGTCAACAATTATTGGGCTACAGCAAAGTTAAAAGGACAGGAAGAAACAAATCATGAAATTCAGAAAGCAAACCTGTATCAATTTGTCTCTAATTTTATTAACTGTTCAGGGTTAAATTATTAGATCTGTTTATCAAAATCACTGACAAAGGTTGCCCACGGGATACACGATTTAGATGTATGCACATGAGACACTCTATAAAAGGAAGACTTGTGGGCTAGTGAAAATGCCCCCAAGCTAGTTAAAAGTCTGTTTCAGCAGCCTAGCTGGCTAGTGAAAAACAAGTTAAGATCGAACCCTGTTTACCTATACATTTGTGTAATTTTTATATTTCAGAGGTTCTTTTCACTTTCTTGTATATGCATCATGTCTAAAGCGGTGTCCGCACTGGACTTTTTGGGGGGAAGGTTTTATTGAGACGATCGTAAAATGAAAAATGGTCATATGTGACCGCTGTCCGCACTTAAGTCCATTTATATTTTGCATATTTTCAACTGATGACATCATCAAACTAGAAGTAACTTTTAAATCAAATGAGACCTAATAAAAACCAAAGTAATAATTTTTTTTCAAATTAAAACAAATTGCTACACTGGAAAAGGCTGAATTCAAAAAAGTTGTTTTGATCTGAAGTATGTATAACCGCAGTGAACTGGACAATGCCAATTAATAAGTTGGCTGCCTGATCACCTGTTGTTTGTAACCCAACAAACACACTAGCTCTAGTTCATTTTAATGTAACAATCTTTTTGATCCTGACTACGTAAAGTACAACTCATCGTATACACCACGGACAGAAAGGAGACTTGTTTTACATTCAGTATGCCTTCACTTTCAATTGAACGGAAAGTTGACTCAGGCAGGATTTATTTTTGTGGCCTCAAGAATACAATGTGGTTATTCATACCTATGTTAGTATTATCTGATTTCTCAATATATTTGTTACGTTATGTTGAATAATTTTTTTTTAAGGTTCGTGAAGGTCACACATATGATCCATTCTACCACTGGCGCCGGGAGCTGTTACCATTTATGGTATTCAATGATTACATGTTTAGGAACAGGTTTCTTTCATCTGATATAGTAATATCACCATTGGAATACAGCAAGGTATGTGTGTGTTGGTTTTTATCATTAAATTGAGTTGGAGTTGTACTTCCAAAATTACATGCATAATACAATTAAAGAGACCTAAAAATGTTAAAGAAAACCCAAATCCACTAAATTATATATACAAGGTGGATAAAAAAAACCCGAAACCGAGATATTAATCGCTAATTGGAACAGACGTAGGGCACATGTGAATCAAAGTGAGATATCCTTACATTCATGGTTGACTGAGCAGTGACCAATTTTATGAAAGGCTCTATTTAGAGACTTGCATGAATGTAATGCAACTGTGAATGTAATGACATGACTAGGGTGTCATTTTAAAGAGGAGATTCAACCCTAATAGAAGATATCTCCCTTTGATTCACATGTGCCCTACTTCTGTTCCAATTAGCAATAATATCTCGGTTTCGTCGGATGATGTGTTAACATGATCTGGCTGTTTTTGTACACAGGCACGGCTGACGGATAAAACGTCAAGCATGCCTCGACTCGCCTCCATATGACGTCTAAACACGCTAATCCCCCATTTGTTTTGTACACACACACAAAGTCCAAGAAGTCTGTGGAGGCAGACCTTGTGTTGAACTTGAACAAGGCCGCTGTGCAGGGCCTATTGTGGTAAAATTTACGCTCCGCGGAGTGTTGAAAAATATGAGGTTGCGGTAAGAAATATCGTACAAATACTGTTGAAATAACTCTTGCGAATCAGTATTTGTGGTGTTTGGCTGTATAGGCCTATCAAAAGTTTGCTGCTATATTTTGCCTTTTTCAAAAATTGACATTTTCGCCAAATTAATCCGTCGCCAAGTGTTTAACTAAACTTACTACAATTGTGCTAATACACAACAATAAAAGGAACAACAAATATTCAAAGACAACACATTGTGGTGTTTCAGAGAAACAAAAAGCAAATCAACACAATTTGTTTGTTGAGTTCAATAGGGCTGTCAACAATCTGTCTGATTGAACACTGTTAGAAGGAGTCTGAATAGAATTGCCCATATGCCCTGGAAATAAGCATTGTAAGCAGTGGTAAGTTTACATGGAGTGTCAGACCCTCGTCCAAAGATTAAAATTTTTTGGAATTAAATGTGGTAGTGGTGTTGGATCAAAAGTTGAGGGCCAAATAAAGGTCTTCTTATCAAAGACCTTGTGGGCAACTGCATGGTAAATAACATTTAGAGGGGGTCTGCCGTCAACAGAAGATCCCTTGAAATTGAGTGACCAAACTACCAAAATAAAAAGCCAACATAATAAGGCGAGCCATCAGATAACAGACCGTTCGGGTACCGGGTCCGGTATGCTAATTTCTTTCACCCCAATCGGTACAAAGCCAGAAGCCACCCGGTCACTGAAGCGTGACGCCCCAATCGGTCCAAACTGGTTACTCAGGTTTTCACAATAGGCAACATAAATTGAAGTCTGGCCATTGTTGGAGGATTATTCGGCCCACTGGGATTACCAGCGGCAACTTCTATGAAGCTCATCACAGTCATTGTTGACTACTGGAGGATTAGCGCGTTGCAAGTTGGTTCCTTTGTGATGAGCCAGAGCCGTGGTGCAGAAGCCTGGTGGAGTTAATCCAGGCCGATCGGTTCGATGCCAGGTCCCAATCCCTTCAACATACTGGGCGGGCTCAACCCCGAACGGTCCGGGGAGGGATTCTAATTTGAGGGCTCGCCTAAAATTCTGTTGGTTTGGCAGTAACTTTTTGATCGGTTACTCACGTCACAAGAAGTGAACATTAAAAAATTTATGTACCCTGCTTTTGAATGTTTCCTCATACTGTGTATAATGGAAAAATATTTTCAGTTCCCTTATATCATTATATTTTTAGTCATATTCTTCCAATTCAATCAGTCATAAAATCTCTAGAGGGATATATTTTGGTAACTCACATTACGGTAACTCACATTTCAGTTTGTCCACCCTTCTTAGGCAGGTACAAGTTGAAACAATCAAACGAAAAACACTTCCCATAAAATATGAACCTGCCTTAAAACAAAAACTCACAATAACACTTGCATTTTGCATGTAAAAACAAGGTGCCAAAATGATTACCTAAAATCCATATTTTTAGCCCCAAAAAACTTAGTTTTTGTTTTCATAAAAGATTTCATAAAATTTCCTTTTTGTCCACATTCTCATTGCCCTTGTATGAATTGCCTTAAACAGGTAACGCTCGTTGCCTTAATATTAGGGCAGTGCTCATTGCATTAATTTCCATCTCAGTCCCAGTCCAAGCAGTGGCGGTTCAACGGGGGGTTGCTTTAGCCGCCAAAATTTTGTCTAGCCCCCCCCCCCCCCCCAAAATTCCCCCCTCAAAAAAAATTGCACTAGTAAATTGTAAGAATGTGACGTACATGCGAATGGTCTCCCCCTAAATAAATAGTCGTGAGAAGGGTGAATTTCCTTTATTAAATATAGTGTGCCTGATTTTATCTGCGCTCCCCGTAGAAAATATGGCACGATCGAGCCCCCTCCCCCCATTGATTTTCGGATGCCTAAGTGTCCGGAGAAAATAACCGGTCTACATTTCAGCACGTCTTCCTGAAAAAAAAAATTCTGGATCCACCCTGCTAGCCCCCAAAAATATTGGCTCTAGAACCGCGCCTTGGTCCAAGTCCCAGTCAAAACCCTACACCAATTTCCGTCCAGGTATCAGTCTATCCTCAAACCCCTAAAATTAGTGCAATTGAAGAACAACTTTGCCTTGCCAGAGAAAACAGTTTCTAGCGAACCATGAGTGGAAACCATCATGACTAAATCTGACAAGTCATTTACACAAATGCGTCATTGTAGTTATTGTAATTGCTGAATATTTTGATTTTTTTTTTAATGTTGCAGGTATTCAAGAGTGATGACAAAAATGTTGCCACAACCATGCCAGATGAAATCTTTCTTGATTGTTGGGAATCATTTCACTTTGTAGTTTCCCTCACAATTGATGAAAATCTTCTTAGCGGTATGAGATTTTTTTGCTTTCCCTTGCTTGCATTGTTGGCATTTTCAAAATTATATCAGGATACAGTATACATTGTTGTTTGCGAAGAATTATATTGTTTGGATGTTGGTAGCCAAGTGACTTACATGTACGCATTCAATCTTAGGCTTACTGGACGGACTGTATGCATATGTTTACAGTACATGTACAAATTACATGACGTGTCATGCACAAATGTACATTCGTTAGTTTGATTGATATGCCGTCTATGATAATCCACAATGTTCATGTGTTAATTACATGACATGTCATGCAAAAAATGAACATTCTTTAGTTTTGATTGATACCCTGGCTATGATAATCCACAGTAAAATGAACGACATAGATACTCAGGCTGGCAATGTTTTGGTAAGAACATTGATTTTGCTCAACTGGAGGCTTGTGTCAATACCTTTTTTAGTCCTTACCTTTGCAAAGAAGTCGGTGATTTTGGAAATGTTATTTTTACCCGCAGCTGGTGTTAAAGGGAATGTACATCATTGGCTTTTGCTGTACGGTAATTTTCAAAAATGAAATATTTGAGGTATAATAGATCAAATATTGTTACACGGACATGTTTGAAGTTTGTGTTCGAAACTGCTGGAAAAGCCAAGAAAAACAAACATATGAACAACTAGCGCGCATCTGCTCACGAAGCTCCGTGACCCTACGCTCAGCGCAGGAAAATGACACGAAAACAGAGCCCTCATTGCAAACTTTCGTCAGTAAAAAGAAAGTACGTCTGTGTTTCTCACCAACTCGCTTCGCATTTGAAAGTTCAAATGATTACCTGTAGATTGGTTACTTTTAACAAATATTTGATGCACGGGGAAAAGGGGCTTTTTTCACTCCAAAAACGGGCATAAAACATCAAAATCGGCAAAGTCAATGGAGGTCAACAAGATTAATGATAATTTTCCGGTGGGTTGTCTCACTAAACTGAACGGCATAGTCGTTCTCTTTTTCCTACAGAATGAACTCGCACTTCTGAATAAACTACATGAAATTTCCTTTCCACTCATATAAGAATCATTTTGATTGGAAGAGTGGATGAAAGGGCTTTTTTGCTTCCAATCATGGAACGTCTCTTTTCTAGACCATGACCCGATTATAATATGCAACGTGCCTCTGTAGTCTGGCTCCATGCATATACAATAACCACGCGTGTATTGGTAGGTTGAATGGGGAACAAGGTCAGGCCACGCATTTGTCTCGCCCGCCGGCACTCTCGAAGCACCCGTTGGAAAACTGTTCGTTGTGTCCTCTTGATTGTTCGTTTTTCACCAATTCAACGTCTTAAAACTACAGTTTTCAGTGCATGAATATACCTTCATACCATAGGTTTTCTGTTATTTACATAACATTCTCTGGATATCGACGAAATGAGCCTTTTTGCTGTTCATGTTTGTCGGACCTTAGCATATTCCCTAGAGGGGTGTATTTGTGCATGGTTTGCGTTATCTCGCCTGCATGGTGCAGTCCACAAACAATACCTATAGGACATTAATAAGTGGTTTGCTTATCAAATCTTGTATTCATACCATTGTTAATGTGCAATAGAAAACATGAGTATTACATTAAAATTTTATTTAGCTGAACAGTTTTAACTCCAAAACCTGTATTGTGTGCTGTACTTGCATATTCTAGATACTGTGTACGGCAGCTATAGGGTCCCCCACTGTGAAATGGTCCGGTCCATTTGACCTGTTACGCAATGAATGTGAGTGCTGTGTTTACACAAGGTCAGGGCCTGAGTCACGCTCACAGGGCCAGTTGTTTATTGCACAAATTCCGGGCAAAGTTGTTCATATGAATGTTCAAGTAGTCTGGTTCCCCGACTCCACTAAAGATGAAATGGATCAATTTTATCAATTTTATTAGATGCCGGAAAATTGTAACGTAAGGGAACCAGTTTAGCTGGCCTGCACCCGTTCATGAACATGTAACCAATAACAAACAAAATTTTGACTGAAAAAAAAAGGTAACTTTGGAGCAGTAGTTGAAAATTAGTAAGGTTTTTCCAACGGTGGTCGGCCGACCACCGTTGGAAATTTATACAAAAATACCATTTTCTTAAAAATGACTTCACACCAAGTGCCATAATTTTACAGGATGCTTTAGACTCTCATTAACCAACATCCTAGTCAGGTATTTTGTAAAAACTAATGGTAGTTTTATTTGTTGATGTTTGCAAATGTTGTATATTCCCTTTAAGGCCTAAAAATAACACAGTGACCGTCCAGCCCCACGTGTCTATGCGGTATCATGAAACACAATTGGTACAAAAAGATTGTTGATGTTTTCATTTTTAAAAGGAAAAAAATTGGTAACTTAAAGTGTTATTGTTAAACATTTCTCACTCAAAAAAACCCTGAACTTTCACACGCCTCAGATGCTTGGAAAAACTGGCCATCATTTCAGAGATCTTGCTGTACAATCACAGCTGAATGGCTCACTGGCTAAAACACCAGGGGGTAAATAGGCCCCCCCCCCCCCCCCCCGAGATGAAGCTGCATCCATGCACATTTGCATTACACATGCTCAAGTTTGCGTTGACATAGGCATGCCCCAGGGTACCGATCCATTACCTACCTTGTGCAAAGGGTCTATTCGAGCTGTGTTTTACAAAGCAGTAGGGACTAATACCAAAAGTCTTTCAGAACGATCAAGATGATAAACGTTGTGGGGTCCATCGCAGCGTCACAACAGATGCCAAGATCACACAAAAACTGGGCATGTGACGGTGCAAGTGGCAAAGGCCGAAATAAAAAAAAACATGCATCCACAAATTGGTCAAAAATCGGCCGAGTGTTCCCTAACGTGGCACAAAATAAAATGTATCTTTTAACTTTGTAACAGGTGCGCAAAGTCAAGATTTATAGAGTTAATAGATACAATTTTATTGTGGCGTGATTTTTCAAAAGTAAGAAAATAAGCTACTAACAAACTTGTATTGTGATAGGGCATACATAGTGGAGATAATGATGTTATTTAGTAGAATTTGTGAACCTTCAAGAAATTCTTAAATGCTAACTTGGGATTTTCTGAGATTAATTGTTCAAGTGGACCACTCAGCCAATTTTGTGCCCAATTTCAGAATGCCACTGTTTTTTTTATATTTTTGTCTTTGCCGCTTGCACTGTCACACACCCGGCTTTTGTATACATAAATTTAAGATTTATGAATGGGAATGCAATAGAACTTGATGAAATTTCACTTGCCTGTGAAATTTGAATTAAAATTTTTCCTCTACAGCAAGGCACTAGAGGTGAAAAAATCTAGGTGCACGCCACATAAGGGTATAGGGCCGCTCCACGTTAGGGCCTATCAACAAATCAGCAGGAATTATTACACAACATATTGTTGGCACATGCTTGATATACGTGTACTGTACACCTGTTACTGCAGTAGTGCAACGCTGAACATAAAGTTGTTACAAGGCCATTGGCTGGCCCTGGGCATGAGTGCGTCTCTACCATGCTGCGTGGCGATATGATCTTTGCATAAAAACAATTTTTGCAAAAACGCTTAGCCCAAACACAAAATATGTTTCTGTACTCTTGTCCCCAAAACAACCCCCAAAATAAAATTTGAGGACAATTCAGCATTAGGCGTGTGATTTCGATTGTCTGGCTTGTGAGCGTGTGAATTGATTCTGAGGCTTGTGATGCATGCCAGGTGCGTGAGACACGTCTGCGTCACATATGAATATTTGAAAATACGTTGTGTGAAAAGTCATCAACCAATGAAAGTTCACAATTCTATAACATGGTATATCAACAACAAAAATGTTGTGAGGTGGGATCTTCACTCAGTGTTGTGATCAAGTCTATCACAAGTCAATCTCAAGTGTGGTCACAAATGTGGGATGAAAGGAATGCCTTTGTCACAGATCATATGAATAACTGATGACTTGTTACTGATTTGAGGACTTGTGATGGACTCCACTGCAACATTAATTGTTGTTAGTGTTATTTATAGCAGTGTAGACTGGTGGTCCTGACTTAGCATTTGTTTACATATTGTCCATTTAATGCCATGTTGCTACATCCTATTAATGTATGTTATGGACATAGATTAGTTGTCATTTTTAGTGGTGGATCTATGAGGGAAGGGGAAAATACAGGTAACAGGAGAAAGAACCCCACAAGCCCACTAAACTCCCATCTTGACACCTACTTCCCCCATCATAAGCCAAACCTGGGTCAGCCACTGATTTTACATTGGCACCAATAAAATACAATACTTAAACATTTGGTATAAGTTTGAGTTCTCGGTCAATTTGTGGCTGGTTTAAACTTGTAATTTCTGATCATTTATTATCTTTGAATAACAGAAATAATTCTATATATTTAGGAGCAAGCTCATTGGATGAACTTTGGATTACCCTGGAAGTATCTGATCAGAACCTGATTGATGTGAGCACAAAGAGAGAAGAAGTTTACGTTAACAGCTCTGTAAAATACCAGGTGACTATTATTCAACTGCTTTAATTCACAAAGCCACTCATGCACAGGGCATTTCTACTCTTCACCAATGTGATCAAAGCACCTTCCAAGAAGCCATTGAACATAATGCATAAATGGGTACAACTATTGAGTTGGTATTTCCTGGAACCCATTTGTATACTCAAAATGAAAATTCACACAGTCAAAACTGACACAGGTTGTCAATATGACCCCCTCCCCTCATTGGGGGACACAGGTTGATAATATAAACCCCTCCCAGGGGTGCTGCATAACAAAAGCAGGGTACTTTGTTTGATCAATTAATGCAGCTGTCCACAGTATCTTCAATTACTAGGTTCTGTGTGGACATTTTGTTTGTACAGTTATTACAAACGGCATGAACGTGATCATCAGCACTGTAGTCGTTCGAAATTGCTTTCAGTTAAGGTTTCGAGGCTATAAACAGCAAAACATATGTCAAGACATTTTGACAGAGTCAAGTTAGCTTCATGGAGCAATTTATCCTTAAGCCCATCATCCACAGACAATTTGGTCACAAACAAGATCATCCATAAGTAGACCAAGGCTGCATGTCGCTGCCAGTTTGCACAAATGTATTTTAATAGTTTAAAAGTTATATTGGTTTGACCAACACAGTGTTTTCCTAAAAATCAAGTTTCACACGGTACCTTTGCTTCTCATCATCACTCTTATCAAGACTATTATGGATATCAATTAGGGCATATGCTGCCAAGTGCTGTGAAAAAATGCACTTTTTGCTCTTCATCTTTAATTACAAATATGTGCTAAAAGAGGGCACCGTTATCGTACCATTTTGAAAACATCAGGCATTTAAAAAGTTGCTGGTTAGTTCAAAGAGGTAAAACGTCTAAACATATGACTGACATACGTGTACCAGGCAAATGTGAAGTGCAACTTAAATTAAACACAAATATTTAAAACTTCAGTGAAGTGTCGTGTAGACAGTATAGAGAGAGAACATTATTGAGTCTATCTATTTTCTTTATGGTTACCCAATTGAATAGCTACTTATTGCAGACAAGGGGAGCCTGCAGACCCAGTTGGCATCAGGTGTTGGCCTCCATCGTGTCTCTGTATCAATAGAAGTATGGATGTCCCAATGCAAGTGCTCGGCTTGTGATAGCCATGCTAGCAAGCAATTGCAGGTACTAATTCCTATATGTTTGATGGGAGAAGTATGTTGGCAATTTAGTATTTCAGGAAAAGATAAACTGAAGAGTAAGCTGTGGTTCTCAACCTATTACATGTATGTATCCAGCACATTAATAGAAGAGGTTAACTCCATTGCTTGGTTTTTATATTTAGCTGTTGCCAATTTCAAATGGGAACAGCTTTTGCTTTCGCTAAGATTTTTTCCCCCCATTTTTCCTTTTTGTTTTTAAAATTTTTCTTCCACTTTTCCCATAGGTTTTGTACAAGCTTTCATTCTACAAGTCATTTTGGCAACTTGTTTTCAATACTTTTTAAAATCATTAACCATCATCTGAAGATGTGTCACTCACAATTTCCTCATGATGGCGCCATCAGGGGTCACGTGACATCAATTTAAAGGTTAATTTTGTACAGTACTATAACTATAGAATTATTTGACCAATTGATCTGAAATTTAGTAAGTAGATAGACAGGAAAATCTTATACTTTATTATAGATGAAAATTGACATGATGTCTTGATAATGCCATCATATGTTACTTAATAGTGACTTAAAATATATAGGCTTACTTCTGTATCTTGAAATTTGTACAGCTATTTGGCCTCAAATGTTACATATATATAGAGACAGTCTAAAGTTATATTTATTTTTAGAGTAATGTGACAACAAATTATGTACTTCTCTTCTTATGACGTCATGAATATTCAGAACGGCAATTTGGTGGCCACCATATCTCAACAAAACGATCGGGTACATGTATGATTCCAGTTCTTTGCAAATTACATTATATTGACTTGAAGGTGTAACTGCTGGAATGTCAAGGTCATGTGACCAGTGTTGTTGACTCGAGTCGCTGACTTGGACTCGAGTCGGACTCGAGTCGCTATTTTTGTTTACTTGAGACTTGACTTGACTTGGGTAAAAAATGACTTGTGACTTGACTTGACTCAAATAAACTGACTTGCTGACATAAACACGTTTCTTAAATGTGACCAGCCACCTTTGGTGGACTAGTTGTTAAGTCTAGTTTTTCTCTCGGAAGGGCACAACTTATCTCTCCCCCCTTGTCTTAATTGCACAACAATGCAGCGAGGTCTGGCAGCTTATGCCCCAGGGCAGTTCCCATAGCTGACCAGGGCCTACACCCAAGACCACAGTGTAGATATGATCACTTTGCCACTTACTTTCCTACTGAACACTGTTCCTTGAAGACCTACTGCAGATCCAGACACCAAACCTATTTAGCTTTTGTTCCAGTACATAGCATCTTATTGCCAATATACCAACCCCTTTTTGTAGGTATGATTACTATTGTTTCATGCAATAAAATCAGCTTGAAGAACTTCATTTGGTCACATGCGTCGTAGACGGGATTCAAGCTTCTTTTAAGGGGTTGGTAATACAATTTGGCAAACCTGCAGGTGAATTACAGAGTGTGAGATCGTCACCAACCCACACCATGGATGAATTGGAGGAGCGAGTGAAGGTGCTGACAAAGCGGTTAGCTCAGCAAACCGGCCCTGGCACAAAAACTAAAGTGGTGGTGGTCCCCAGAGAGCGAGGTGCGAAGCTGTCAGGGCGACCTCGTACTGATAAGGACCCTGAGGTCATCGAATGGGCAGAGGATATGCGGTGCATGACCAGTGACCTGACAGAAACAGAAGGCGTCCAGTTCATTGTAGACCACCTCGAGGGGGCAGCAAAGGACGAAGTGCGGCTCTGCCCTGCTGCTGACAGAGACACACCAGACAAGATATTGAAGCCAATTGTGAAGACCCTCTGCCCCCAGGATACCCCATCGTCCCGCTGGGGAGAGTTCTATGCAAGAGTGCAGCGAGGAGGGGAGTCAGTCCAGGATTTCTCTCTGCAGCTGATGAAGCTCCTGCGACGGGTGGCTGTAGTTTCCCTGACCGATGGCATGAATGACCAGGATGCTGTCCTGTGTGAGCGTTTTGCAGCTGGCTTGGCTGACCCTACACTGCGGAGGGAGGTTTGACGGGTCATACAGGAAAACCCCGGCATGGAGTTTTCAGAGCTCCGTAGCAAGGTGATATCATGGGAGAGTCCATCCACCACAGCTGTGACGAGGGAGGCTAAGGCCTCGGAAAGTGCCTTGCAAGCCCAGCTCGACCGCCAAGTAGGCCAGATACTCGCTACGCAGGAGGCAGTGACCAGGTTGTGTGAGCAGGTGCCGTTGCTGCTGTCATACCTGAATGCTGCTACAGCAAGACCAAGCAGACCGAGCCGGGGACCAGTGAAGTGCTACAACTGTGATGGTACAGGCCATTTCGCAAGCCAGTGCCCTAGCCCCAAGAGGAGACAACAACGGCGCAGGCAACAGATTGCTGGGCTGATGCACCCCCATTCTATCAGTCCCCAAGGGACAACGAAGACCGCCTCTCTCAACCAAAGATGTCCCCCCAAAAAAGCCAGCCCTCCATCATGAAGAGCCAAGCGGTAGAGGGGAGGGAAGGTGGCTCCCCAACAAATGCCTGCACAGTGGAAGAGATGTTTAAGAAAGCAGTTGCAAGGAGCCCCGAGGTGACTGTATCAGTAATGGGTCAGGATGTTCACTTCATTCTTGACACTGGGAGTGAAGTGACCATCCTGCCAGAGAGTATCTACCGATCTTTGGATGGCGGGCAACCGCTGCAAGACATATCCAGATGGCTGAAAGTATATGCAGCCAATGGCATCGAGCTTCCATATGTGGGCTACCCGGAGTTGGATATGGATGTACTTGGGATCCAGCTAGGCAGGGTGGCAGTACTCCTTTCACCGGCATCAGGGGCAAGTGGTAGTACCATTACAGGCTTGCTCGGCTGCAACGTGATACGAGAGGTACGCTCAGCCTTGCTGGAGGAGAATGGTAGCAAATACCTACAGTCACTACGCGACAAAGGACCTTGGGCGAACGCCTTGCTGGGATGTGAGATGGAGGACAAGGAAAGTGCCAAGACGAGATTCGTAAAAGTTGGAGGGAGGCAGCTGATCCTCATACCGGCCCAGACTTACAGGGTGGTAACTTGTACAACGACAGGGGCGCCGAGAAGAACACATCAATCAGAAGTCTGAATCGAGGCTGTGCATGGGCGCATTGGGAACCTCCCGCGGAATGTAGCAGTAGTGAATACCTGTTCCTCCTTCCAGGGTGGACTAGTTTCCACTAGAGTTGTATACGTTGGTGAGGAGGACGTATGGTTGCAACCCAGGACACGACTCGGAGTCATGTCTGATGCAAAAGATCCTCCATTCGGAGGAATACCATGCAGGAGACGAGTAACCACCAAATGGTTGACCCTGAAGAGGCCACTGCCCATGCGAACTGCATCACTATTAAGTTGGAAATGCTTCATTAAGTTGGAAATGCTGGAAGTAATAAATTCATGGTGTTTTGGCTGAACCTTTTCCAGTAGTTTAGACCATGTGGCCACAGGCCTATGCTTTCGTGTATATAGTTTAGCTAGCAGTGCCTCTGCTTATCAGTTATCTTGATCAGACACCACAGGTGGTTGGGCTCTGCTAGAAACAGTGAGGCCCTTTAGAGATTAAGTTACTGTCTTCTGGAGTAAAACCCCCTTAGGGCTATTTAGCTGAGTGTGATGCTGGTATTTAGGAAGTGAGTTTATCAATTGCCATGTATCGATGGACTGTAGGATTGCACATGATTGCATGTATCGATATTGATGTTTTAGCGATGAAGTTGCTTTGTTTTGATTAAGTTTGTTCCAGTAATTGATATACAATCATTGGCACATCGCCACACAGATTTATTCAGTGGAGCACTGATGTTTTGAGACTTAATAGTTTTCTATTTGGAGACTGTGTTCTTTGAGTTGCTAGAAAGAGCACACGTTTGTGTTTATATTAGCCTCATTAAGTATTCACTCTCTTTTTTATTTGATCTTTATGCAAGTTGATGTTTTTCTTTATTAGAGTGAACTGCTGCATAATGACTCACATTATTACTTGTTTAGTTTTAGTTTTCATTTTACTTATTATTGTTTCTTTTCTTTCCTTTTTTTATAGCCAATATACCAACCCCTTCTTGTTTTGTGTGATTACTGTTGTTTCATGCAATAAAATCAGCTTGAAGAACTTGATCCGGGGCACTGGCTAGAGACGCTCCTCCTGCGATGGATTGGGCAGGGCCATCCTGCTGGTCACTTGGGGCTCCACAGTCATGAGGGCCTGGCTGGGATAACGGAGCTGCCGTGCTCGCACTGCTGGTTATCCCGGCTGAAGTCTTGCCACTTAAATCAGGGATACTGGAACAGAGAAGAGGGGCTGGGTCTGCCGGCTCTCCAGCGGCCTGCTGGAGGGTCTCCTCTGTCAAGACAGGATCATCGGGCTGGGATGTTAGGACTGGATCTGCTGGCCCTCCAGCGGCCTGCTGGGGGGTCTCCTCTGTTATTAAAGACAGGATCATCGGGCTGGGATGTTAGGACTGGATCTGCTGGCTCTCCAGCGGCCTGCTGGGGGTCTCCTCTGTTATGACCGGGCTATCAGCCAGGGCTGGTGATACTGGATCTGTGGGGTTGCTGGTGGGTCCCTGTTCTATGTCTGGAGCATACATGGTTATGACCATCTCCGGCAGTTGTCGTTCAGCTGCATTTCCCTCGTCTCTTAGTTTGTCTTGTTGAGGATCAGTGTGGAGAGGACCATCAGGAACACTGTCTCCTGTGTCGAGAATCTCCGTTCGGGTAACCCTCTTCATCGGCCCAGTCCCATCAGCTAGTTGTACCACATACACATTTGTTTGTGGTCGTGCAATCACCTTGTAGGGCGTTGCCTTCCAGTGATCCCCAATCCGTTCCGTAGGAGTACTCTGGTACCTAGAGCAATGCCCTTGTCGTTTGCTTTGTCGTCCTGTCTCCCACACCTGGCCGCGCTCTTCCTCTATATTCTCGAGGGCCATTTCAGCTGCCTGTCGCAGTTTTTGCTGATGCGACGTCACCCAAGACTCAGTTGGTGGTGCTCCCATGACATCCTCATCAAACATCATCACATAGTCATTTGGCAGCAATGGTTCCTGACCCATGAATATGTAGAAAGGGGAAAGGCCAGTGGATGCATGCGGGGTGCAGTTATACATGAACGTAAGTTCCTGTAGATGGTCTGGCCAACGCTTCTTCTGCTCAGGGGGTAGGGTACGGAGAAGGTTGTGCAAAGTGTGATTGAATTTCTCGCACTGCCCGTTGCCCTCTGGATGGTAAGCTGTTGTCCTGCTCTTTGAGATCCCATATGCTGAGCACAGATCCTTCACAAGCTGGGACTCAAAGTTCCTCCCCTGATCACTGTGTATACGGCGGGAAACTCCATATACTTCTGAAACCATTCCTTTATGAGAATTTTGGCAACAGTGGAGGCTTTCTGATCTCTGAATGGGACTGCTTGTGTGAACTTGCTGAGGACATCTGTCATGACTAACACGTTTTCGCGTCCATCTTACGTCTTCTCTAGTGTCGTGAAGTCGATGGCTAGGATGTCAAGGGGCTTGTCTGCTTGGAGTGTCCCCGTAGTCGGACGGACCCTGGGGGTTGGTGCCTTCGCCACTGTGCACCTTTCACAACTCTTTCACCACCTCTCCACATCAGCCGACATCCCGGGCCACCAACATCTCTTTCGTAGGAGTGCGAGGGTGTGTTCCTGGCCTTGGTGGCCAGCCTGATTATGCAGTGCCCCTAGCATTGGCTGGAGCTCTGCAGGCAGCAGCAGCTGGTGGTATTGTCCCTCAAGGGGGTCTTGGTATTTGATGTAGAGCACCCCATTCTTCTCGGCCACTCTGTCCCACCTTCTAACGAGGGCCCTGACCGCATTCAACTCGTGCTTTAGGTCAAGCCAAGAGGGCTTTGTGCCATATCTCCAGTTCCTCACAAAGCCGGCAATGGTAGGGTCCCTCTTCTGTAGTTCAGCGAGCATCTCTGCGGAGTAGCTGGGTAATGTCGTAGTGGTGGGGGGCGTGTCCATTGTTGTAGTGCTGCGTACTTTCACAGTTCGGGTTTGCACGCCAGGGATTTCATTGAGGGGTGCAGACTGGGTCAATTCTTGTGCCGCTTCTTCAATGTGTACTGGATGGCGGCTGAGGGCATCAGCATTTGCATTTGCCTTGCCAGACCGGTACTTCTTCTGAAAGTTGAACTGAGACAACTGGCTAACCCATCTCAACTCCGTGGCTCCAAGTTTTACCGTTTTGATGTATGATAACGGATTGTTGTCCGTAAACACGAGGAATTCTGCGCCCAGGAGGTAGTCACAGAATTTTTCCGTGACGGCCCACTTCAGTGCTAGTAGTTCAAGCTTCATGGAGCTGTAGTTCTGCATATTTCGCTCAGTTGGACGGAGACTTCTGCTGGCATAGGAGACCACCACTCGCCCTGATTCTTGTTCCTGAGATAGTACGGCCCCCAGGCCGTCAAAACTGGCATCTGTCTCCAGGATGAATGGCTTGGTTAAGTCTGGGAACCCAAGAATCGGTGGGGATGTTAGTCTCTCTTGTAGGGTCTTAAAAGCCTGGGTGCACTCAGGACTCCAGCGGTTGGCAAAGTCCTGCTCCTGGCTTGGACTGGGGCGGCGGCGTCCTCTACCCTTCTGACATTCTTGCTTGGTCAACAAGGCATGCAAGGGTGCTGCTATTGGGCTGAAGTGTTGGACAAATTGCCGGTAGTAACCTGCAAGCCCAAGAAAGGACCACAGTTCATGCTTGTTCTTGGGCGTCTTCCATTGAGTGATTGCCTCGGTCTTTCTTGGGTCAGTTGCAACACCCTCAGCAGAGACAATGTGGCCCAGGTACTGACATTCTTGACGAAAGAAGTGGCACTTGCTCGGTTTCACCTTAAGGCCATGGTGCCTCAGATGCTGAAAGACTACCTCTAGTCGTTGGAGGTGTTCTTTGAACCAACTCGAGAATACCAGTATGTCGTCCAAGTAGAGGAGCAAGCTGCTGTAGTTAAGGTCACCCAGAATCACCTCCATCAATCGCTGAAAGGTCGCAGGGATGTTGCTCAGCCCAAAGGGCATCCTCAAGTACTCATACAGACCCCCAGTACCCGCTCGAAAGGCTGTCTTGTGAATGTCCTCTTCGGCAACGGCCACCTGGTGGTAGTCCTGGGCTAAGTCAATGGAACTGAAGTATTTTGCCCCCTTAAGGGAGTCGAGCACACATACCGGTCGTTCATCATGAGTAGGGATGTTGTGTGTTATCGTCGATGTGTAACCAAGGTCCTCGTCATCATGGCAGAACACATCCTCATACTGCCTCAATAGCTTGGTGAGATGCTTCTGTTGTTCTGGTTCTAATGTGGCATTACCAATGTCAATGTTGAATGGTAGGGGTCTATCGGATGGTATATCTGTAGTGATGCGGTTCGCATGGGCAGTGGCCTCTTCAGGGTCAACCATTTGGTGGTTACTCATCTCCTGCTTGGTATATTCCTCCGAATGGAGGACCTTTGCATCAGACATGACTCCGAGTCATGTCTTGGGTTGCAACCATACGTCCTCCTCACCAACGTTTACAACCCTAGTGGAAACTAGTCCACCCTGGAAGGAGGAACAGGTATTCACTACTGCTACATTCTGCGGGAGGTTCCCAATGCACCCATGCACAGCCTCAATTAAGACATCTGATTGAGGTGTTCTTCTCGGCGCCCCTGTCGTTGTACAAGTTACCACCCTGTTACTCTGGGCTGGTATGAGGATCAGCTGCCTCCCTCCAACTTTTACGAATCTCGTCTTAGCACTTTCCTTGTCCTCCATCTCACATCCCAGCAAGGCATTCGCCCAAGGTTCTTTGTCGCGTAGTGACTGTAGGTATTTGCTACCATTCTCCTCCAGCAAGGCTGAGCGTACCTCTCGTATCACGTTGCAGCCGAGCAAGCCTGTAATGGTACTACCACTTGCCCCTGATGCCGGTGAAAGGAGTACTGCCACCCTGCCTAGCTGGATCCCAAGTATATCCATATCCAACTCCGGGTAGCCCACATATGGAAGCTCGATACCATTGGCTGCATATACTTTCAGCCATCTGGATATGTCTTGCAGCGGTTGCCCGCCATCCAAAGATCGGTAGATACTCTCTGGCAGGATGGTCACTTCACTCCCAGTGTCCAGAATGAAGCGAACATCCTGACCCATTACTGATACAGTCACCTCGGGGCTCCTTGCAACTGCTTTCTTAAACATCTCTTCCACGGTGTAGGCATATGTTGGGGAGCCACCTTCCCTCCCCTCCACCGCTTGGCTCTTTACGATGGAGGGCTGGATTTTGGGGACATCTTTGGTTGAGGGGGGCGGTCTTCGTTGTCCTTCGGGGATGGATAGAATGGGGTTGCATCAGCCCAGTGATCCGTTGCCTGCGCTGGTTGTTGTCTCTTCTTGGGGCTAGGGCACTGGCTTGCGAAATGGCCTGTACCATCACAGTTGAAGCACTTCACTGGTCCCCGGCTCGGTCTGCTTGGTCTTGCTGTAGCAGCATTCAGGTGTGACAGCAGCAACAACACCTGCTCACACAGCCTGGTCACTGCCTCCTGCGTAGCGAGTATCTGGCCTCCTTGGTGGTCGAGCTGGGCTTGCAAGGCACTTTCCAAGGCCTTAGCCGCCCTCGTCACAGCTGTGGTGCATGGAGCCTGCCACACATCACGTATACGACTAGCACTATGCGTGTGTTATGGACAACGTATCATACTCAACCTCGTGCATGCGAGGTGAAGTTTGTGCCGTGCGTAGTCTGACTATCATCCATTAATTTAGAGCGGTCATTCCATAGAGACCAAAGGCTACACGTACACATTGAGTGGTTTACAGTCAGCAAGTTAAATGCAACTATGGTTTAATTACGACTGGAAAACGGCTGCTACCCCCAATCCGCAATAAAGCAAAAATAATTCACATCATGCATTATACGAAAAGGTTCAGAAGGACATTTTGTCAGACGTCCTTCAAATATTCAACATGATGGAACAAGTTTGAAAATATTATATCAAAATGTGTTTCAAGACTCTTTAGATATATATAAAGTGTTTGAGAGAGGATGTTTGAAAAGTATGATTTTTTTTAAATCTCCTTACATGATGCATGCTTTGATAAACCCCATTCCCATCTCTACTCCAGCTCCGTTGTCGAATGCATAAACTGGTTCCTTTACGTGGTAGACCTATGTGCATCTAATATTTTAAAATGACTCGAGACTTGACTTGAAAAAATTTACTTGGGACTTGACTTGTGAAAAATTGACTTGAGACTTGACTTGGGAAAAAAGTGACTTCAGACTTGACTTGACTTGCTAAAATTTGACTTGGGACTTGACTTGACTTGGAAAACTCTGCATGTGACCCTCACTTCTGGTGATACCGGAAGGGGTGATTGTAGAATCTAATTATCATATCTCATGAATCATTAATTTGATAAAGCTGATAAACATGCAGCAACATTCAAAGATAAATATATTAAATTATTAGTACCCTGCAATCTATTGTGCTAATGTTATGTTGTCATAAATATTTAATTAGGCCATTTTATGGCCACCATATTTCAAGAATGCGATAAGGTACGAAACCAATTCTTTGCAAATTGCATTATATTGGCTTGAAGGTTTGCCTGCTTTAATATCACGTGACTGGTATAACCGGAAGTGCAATTATTACCAATTTAATATTAATTTCCAAACTGCATAAGGTGACAGGTTTTGATTAATTCATTTTTAACTGCTTCGTACTCTTCATAATAGACAATCAAAACAGTTTGGGAGCAGCTTTACAGTCGTTTAGTTACAGCTACGGTTGGCAGTTTCGGCAACTTTGCTGAAACAGCCAAAAAAGTCTTTTTGTGTTGTTTTTCTTTCTTCTTCTGCTTCTTTTTGTTCCTGAAGAGTGAGTCATGATGACATCATCAGGGGTCATGTGATGTCATCTTGAAGATGCATATTTTAAAGTCCTATATCTACAGAACTATAAGTCCAATTGGGTTGAAAGTTGGTGTGTAGGTAGACCGGGATGTGTTATAGAAGAAAATTGAGATGACAGCGTTTTACAGTCCCTCAGCCTGTTCCGCGGGTCCTCACTGGTTCCCCTGTGGTCGGGCGGTCTTGGCGCAAACGGATTATGAGTTAGCTTTTCCATTTGTTGTAAAACTTGTTTTCATTAGTTACTCAGTTTTATCGGAAAAAGGTATTAATTAGAAATTTTCATTAATCACATCAATGAAGTATAGCTTTGTGCAGGGTGAGCGCACAGATGCAGCTCCCCTTAGTGCTCCACTTTCTTTATAAATTTCAAAGTTTTGCAACTTTAATCCACTTTGAAATTGTTATCAACTGGATGAACTATGGACTTGGATCCAAGAGGCATACCTTGAGGACAGGTCTTCAACTAGAAGCAGAGAACTTTGAGGGAGAAATTCTGGTGGTGGCTCAACACAGAATATCATAGTTGGAAGCCATTACATCACATACAATGTGTACTACACACAGTGGACCTGAGCCCGCACAGTTGCACTGACTCTGGTATCGGATTCAATTAGGATAATCCGTTGACAATGAGACCAATTACTCTTATTGTGATTACAGTAGCAGTAGCTAGCCTCACAGACAGCTTGAATGGACTTGAGGACTATGCTAATCTTCCACCCGCCCATCCTTTTGTGAAACAGCCATTCATCCGAAAGCACTTTCTTCAAAGAAGAAGTATTTACTACTCAAACTGTGTAGCTACTTTCCAGATTGAACTTCTTAGGGCTGGAGATGTACAACCTAACCCAGGTCCTGATCTGCAAGAGTCTTGGAGAGTTGAGCACACTTCATCTTATCCATCCTGTCGTAAATATGTATATAGCCCAGAGTGTATACTGAAATTACAAGTTGTAAACAACCAACGTTTACCCAAACATGTTTACAATATCATAAAATCCTTTGGACTGAATCGCATGAAACCCACCCGCCGAGGTACTAGAGCTGGCGTTAAGACCAAAGCATGGTTTTCAGAATGTGAAGTGTCAGATCCGGATCAAAGTTCATTATCGACTGGTCATCACTCCGAGACTGTTTATCATCATCATTCTCCTGTGAATGCAACATCCTTCCCGTCGGAAGCAGAGTTGGACAGCCACCCGATTCCAGTCATCAGCCTTACAAAACGACAATCTCAGCCCCGTGAAAAGAACGGCCCGAATTTAAATAACCTTGTCAAAATACAACTGCATCAAGGACTTTCTTCTCCGGAAACTACATTTAAACTTTGCACCCTGAATGTTCGTTCATTACGCAGTAAGTCAGCAGCTATCTACGACTATGTCTGTGACAGTAAAGCCGATTTGTACGCTTTCACAGAGACTTGGCTCACTACGAAGGACTCAGCTGTCATCCATGACGTCGTACCAGCAGGCTACAAATTCAACCATTATCCTAGACCTAATCGTCGAGGTGGTGGCACTGCAGTTCTTTACAGAGATACTTTATACATTCGTAGATTTGATGCTGGTGCTAAGGAATCGTTTGAGTTTAGCGTTCACCTTGTTATTCTTAAGTCATTACAGTTTAGACTGATTAATGTTTATAGACCTCCTTATTCTGACAACAACCGAGCTCCATTTAGAGTTTTTCTCACAGAGTTCAATGAGTTTATTCAACCCCATTTACTATGCAGATTACCACTTATAATAACCGGGGATTTTAATGTTCATGTTGATGTTGCCATTGATTCTGATGGGAAAGCTTTTAGAGATTTTCTTGAATCTGTTGGTTGCCTCCAACATGTTGATGTTACTACTCACACCAAAGGTCATACTTTAGATCTTATAATTAGTCGGAGTTCTGATGATATTATTTTGGGGAAGCCATGGACAGACTTGTTGGTTTCCGACCATATGTCAGTAATGTGTTTACTCAAGACCCAGAAACCACCTGTGAATGTGAAGAAAGTCTCTTATCGTAAAACAGGATTGATTGATTTCGAATTATTCCAGAATGATTTGGGATTAAGTGATCTATGTGTTAATCCGCCAGACAGTTTGGACGAGCTGGTAGCTCTATACACACATACTTTATCTTCTATTCTGGATAAACATGCACCAGTGATAGTTAAAGAGGTGCGTTTAAAACCAAAGGTACCCTGGTACAGTGAAGAAATAAGACAAGAAAAAAGGAAGCGGCGTAAAGCAGAAAGGAAGTGGATTAAGAGTGGTTTAGAAAGTGATCATGATAGCTTTAAGGCTGCTCGGAACTCCACTCTATATCTGATGAATAATGCTCGTCGTGACTATTATACTCATTGTGTTAATGAAAGTAGTACTGATCAAAAGAAGTTGTTCAATCTCACCAAGTCAATGTTGAATATGAAAAAATCTGTAGTGGAATTACCACAACACATAGACACAGAGACCTTTGTGAATGAACTAGGTTCTTTTTTTGACCAG